GGGGTCAACTATGGGAACAAATCTGCAGTGAGTAAGAAAAAAAACAATAATTTTGAGGCCTTGTGGAAATGTGTGGACCATATCTCTTGGGGAAGATGGGAAAAACTCACAATGAGTACATGAGGCTTGGGTGAAGACTGGAAAATTTCTCAACATTCCAGACCCCACATTTCTGAGTCTCTATGACACATGAGATGAACATTGAGTAGACAGGGTCAGCTCTGCATGTGTCTGCTTCAAGAGTCTTCAAGGACTCTGAAAGCAGAGGCCAGTTCCGGACCTCCACCTTCAGCAGTGGCATTTTAGTCCCATGTTTGCAGTGTGTTGTGCAGCACTTCGAAACAGCCAGTGCAACCCTTGCAAAAGTTAACAGACTCAAGACAGCCAGTGAAGAATCTGCATTAGAATGCTTATAGAAGGTCCTGTCCAGTGCTTCTCAGCTCTGCAAGTTCAGACACTGCACCAACTGCACCCTTTGTGTTGCAGTACAAACTGCTGAGGGCTGAGGGTGAATTTGTACAATAACCTGGGCAGAGTAAGTGCCACAGACTCTGGAAGGCCATAAACAACGGAGAGGTTGTGTGCACTTCTTGTGGTAGAGTGACTGATCTCATTGACAGTGTTTCAGAGTGCTGGGGTTGGGGTGGGGTGCTGTGGGATGTTCTGTATGTTAAATGTGTTGCTCTGATTGGTCAATAAATAAAACACTGATTGGCCAGTAGCCAGGCAAGAAGTAAAGGCGGGACAAGTAGAGGGGAGAATTCTGGGAACAGGAAGGCTGAGTCAGAGAGATGCTACCAGCTGCCGCCATGGAAAGCGAGATGTAAGGTGCCTCTAAGCCACGAGCCATGTGGCAACTTATAGACTAATAGATATGGGTTAATTTGAGATATAAGAACTAGATAACAAGAAGCCTGAGCCATTAGGCCAAACAATTTAAATAACATAAGCATCTGTGTGTTTATTTTATAAGTGGGCTGCCGGGCTGCCTGGGCTTGGTGGGCCCCTGAGAGAAAACTCCAGCTACAGTGGGGTGTTAATAGGACCTGAGAATGAAAATGCAGTATTTTCCTTTGGTTTGTGTCTTCGTTTTGTGTTTGTGACAGTCTCTCATGTATCCCAGGGAATCCTGAACCTCACATGTCCCATACTGTGTACATCAGGAAGACTAGTGCTGTTCTTCCTTGTGTTATACCCTCCCACTGGTCACAGGAGTGCATAGAAATGTCTGGCTTTTGGTTAATTAACTAACAAAAAAGAAGTATTAGAACTGGAGGCTTAGCTGTGCATAGAGCTGCAGCATGGCTGGACAGCCCCCAGGAATTCTAATTATATTGTAGGGCAAACATCTCAACCTATAAACATGAACACCATGCCTAGAAATAGGAAAACCATGTCAAATAATGCTGGATATTAGCTAAATCAAACAGCTCATTGTTTTGGAGGAAATATCCAGCCCTTCACTGAAGGGAAGACATAGAGCACTGCTACTATGGACTGAAAGGGCTTGAGAGAAAGATCCAGAAGGTAAGGATTGACGCTGCATGGTGGTTATGCTCACAGTGCTCTCTGTGGGTGGAAAGTTCTTCAAGAGCGCGGTAAACCCAGCAGTAAGACAGGGATTTCAGAGTCCCTGAAGTGGGGGCTCTGACTTTAATAAGTCCTACTACACAAGGGAAGTCATAGAAACCGAGTCCCGTGATTTCAGGAGGAAGATGTATATGGATTTGAGATATCTGAGTGAAGGGATGTTTACAAAATGTCCTCAATGAACAGCAGAAAGTCTTTTCTCTTAAAGTGTCAATGAAAACGCTTACCCTTAGACACAGATGCCAGCCAGTCATGTGTAGTCAGCCAATAGAAACACAGATCCCTTTTCACACATTTACCTGGTCTCCCCACAGTCTCCGTCCATGTTTTATGAAGGTGCCTTCTCACAGACACACGGTCCCTTGCACAGCAATGTAAGCTACTGAAAAGTGTAGCCTCTTCTAATTGATAGGAAGTCCAGTCAGAAACTGAGTCAGACATGTGGTCACCTAGAGCATGCCTCCACAGGATCTGGCCCTGTAGCTGGATACACATTTTGTGTAGCCGTTTCCTCCAAGATAAGACATTCCATTTGGAGGAAAGCTCCTGAAGACAAAAGACATTCCAAATGGAGGCGAAACATATCATAATAAGGGAGAGATGGTTAAGACACAGGAAGTAAAAGGCTTGATGGCTCCAACTAGGCTTAGAAGATGTTTGTTCCCAGTTACTCCCGTCTCCCCAGGAAGAGTGTCAACAGCACATCTGAGTTCCACATAACCGGGGAGCACAGAATGAGAATCCACAGTCAGCTGAGGCACAGGATGCCACCCACAGGTTCCGTTCATGGAACATCAGCCCCAGTGAGAAGACTGAAGCCACTGGATGTGGCAGCCAGGAACTGGAGCATGTCAGCAGATAACACTCTGTACCTGGAAGATTGGTGGCAGGGCCTGTATGGAACTCAGGAAAGTCATGTCTTGCTGGAACATCCAATGTGGAGCCTCAGGACCCTTCCTCCTGATGCCTCCAGGTCCCCAGTGAACCCATCTCTCTTTCTATCTCTGCTTCTCCCTGTGTGATTCCCCACCATGACCCCTTGGGGATTAGGTCTAGGGTGGGACATACTGGAGTGTGGGTGGAAACAGCCATGACTAGAAACACAGTGTCCTCTGCTGGAGACTTGCCCCACCTGACAATATAAATAATTGTTACACAGAGGTGGAGTGAGTTGATAAGCCCCTGATGAAGGTACAGAGAATCATGTGGGGTCAGCATGAAGCAGTATAGCACCTGGAAATCTTCCTCACTCAGCAAGGCACAGTGACCACAGCTTGCCAGTGTCACCTCCTGCCATAAATGCCATTTCTGGAATAGGCTACTATGGTTCAAACACTTATACCCACATTTTAGTAATCTGAAAAACAATGGAACCAACATACTTAGAATCCACCTCTTTATTGCTGAGATAATTGCAGGGAAGAAACGGTTGTCATGACCAGCACAGGTGGCCGAGACATTGGGGGCAGGGCCAGGTTCCAGGTCATCTGGCTTTGGAAAGAGGGCACACATGAGCTGCTCCAAAATCTTCAGGGATCGTTGTTCTGGGGACCAGGTGGAGCATCAATCAGCACCATCTTTCTATTGCTTCTGAAAATGGCTCTCCTGGTCCTAAACCAATCCTACAAGCAGAAGAAAGGGTTGCTTTAGTACACTGTACTGTACCACCACTGAAGAACATATCCTTTAACCACATATACTGGCTCAATTTTACTAGCATTTTAGAACATCTATGGAACCCATCCCTGGGCCAGTATGTGCTAGGTATGTGCTCCAACACAGAGCTACTCCCCTAGCAAAGCACCACATTTCTGATTGCCCAGAAACTGTTTATCGACCTAACCCCAAGAACAGTTGAAGACGTACCTCAAGTGTGTACTGATTGTTCAGAATGCTGCAAGCAACAGGTTTCATTCTCATTGAAACAGTCAAAACACCCCCATGAAGCCCCTGAGGATATGTACCCCCACACCCAGTCCTTCTTCTATGGAACAGACCCAGAATATTGTCTATTCTCTCCATCAGTTGATACTTTTAACGCATTCTTTCAGGAAAGCATGCATATCTAGCTCATGGGTTGTTCCCGGTCCTTGCTGTGTGTTGAAAAGTATCAAAAACAGTTCTCTTGGAACCCCGGAGTACTATCTCAAGGCCCAAAGCTTTCTGTAAAAGGCTCCATGGTGATAGCCTTTTATGGGTATCCAGAATGCACATTTTATGAGACAAAGGGCACTTCTTCCTGCTCTATGCTTCCTCCCTAGCCTCCAAGCATACCGTGTATAGGCCTTTTCCCTTGTGGGCATGTGGTCTGGAAAAGTCAGGGCTGATTGTAATGGTGAGCAGAGTTCACATACATAACCAACAAAAGCCTGGTAAAAGTGTTATGGGTCGTTTGAAATTCCTGGTCCCAGTATTGATTCAGAACTAAGCCAGGCATGGGACATTTACAGACTAGATCAAGAAGTCTGAGAAAAGGTTTTCTGAGACACACAGAGTGAAAGAGTTGAAGGTGGGCAAGAACATGGTCTCTTCACTTAAGTGAGGCATGCAGGCTGCACGGCCTTCAGAAGGTCATGGAGAACACACTATGTTCACTGAGGGTCAGACAAAGCACCTTGGCATCTTAGGTTTCAGGTGTCCAGGTTGGCATTTCCTGCCTGAGAAAATGGAGGTTTTTCATCATCTTGAGCCTAGTTTGGCTGTGGACTGGGTCTGGCATCCTTGGGATGCAACATCAGGTCCCAATTTGCTGCTACACCTCTCTTCTAGACAGCACCATCACAAGATGTGGAACCCTTCCAAAACATTATTTTTTTAAAAAATACTGACCTACACATCTGCTTCCGGCACACCCATTGATATTGCAAGATCCTTCCTGAAGTGAAAAGATTCCAACATTCAGGCCTTGTAGTGGAAATAAACTGTATAAAGACATGTCCTGTTTGCTTTTAAATGTTTGTGTCCACACTTGTGTGTGTGGACATGTGTACATACACACACACACACACATACAAACACACACACACACACACACACACACACACGCAGACACATACACAAACACATGCACACACTCGCACAGACACACACACAGTATTCCTCACACCTACTTTGAGACTTACTTCAGTAACAGGTTTCTTTCAGGGACCAAAATTAATGGTAATCCCCCAAACACAGGTATGTGGTCTATGTACTTATCATGTAAAGCTTCATTAACAGAGCCTCCACGATGAAATGTGTTAGTCAAATTTTAATCTGAGGTGGAATCCCTCCTGCATTTTCCCAGCCACAACTCAGGCTTCTCACTCATACTTACAGAGACTTATTTAGAACAAGCATTGTCTAAATTTCCCACTCACGTGTCAATTAAACAGGCAACAAAACACAATCTTTCCAGTTGGACTAGGGCACATCTGCTTACTCCAGAATCCATTTTCTGCTGGAGGGTCCAGACATGGTGGCTTTGTTTGTAGAGGAAATCAGGGGTCAGGGAGCACCAAAGGACAGCCTGGATGCACTGCTAGAAAACCAGGCGCCTAACAGGCCTTCTGCTTACCTTACTTGAAAGCTGGGGAAGCGAGTCTCTTCGAAAAGACGCTCCAGGTCCTGCAGCTGAGACTGGGTGAATCTGGTGCGTCTCTGGAAAGGCTGCCTGTCCCAAGCCTGGAGATTCTTGGTGCCCTCAGGCATTGCCGCCTCTTGCTGAGGCTGCTGTTGAACACTTCCGCCATGGCCACCTTCTGCCTGGATCCCCTTGTCCATGGGGCCAGAACTACCATCTCCAGCATGACCTCCTTCCATTTCTTCTTCTTCTTTTTCTACCTCCTCTACCACTCCTGTGGCTTCCTGAGGAAGACCGGACTGAGCAAGCTCTTCTTGAGCAGGCTTGCTTGGGGCAAGTTCGCCCAGAGCAAGTTCGCCCTGATCAAGCTCACCCTGAGCAAGCTCGCTCTGTACAAGCCCTTTCTTTCCTCCTTCCTCTTCAGCCTTCGGGACTATTTCATTCTCACCTGCAAGAGAGAAAAACACAAAGATAAAGATCTGAGCATCGTGGCCCATGGATCATTGGAAAGCCTGGAGAGGGCCCACAGGCAGAGCCGGGTAATCCAAGTGCCTGGCCACTGGCCTTTCCACCAAATTTGCTTCCCGGACTTCCCTCAAGTAGAGTCAGAACCATTTTACTGACCATGCTGTTGTTCCTGGTCTTCATTAGCTCCTAGACACAGCAACCTGGTGAAAATGTGGCAGCAGCACTGGCGAGACTCCATGCCAGGAATCTTTCAATCAGACCCGAGTTCGGAAGACTTAAAAGCCGTGTCCTCACGGTCTGACGCCAGAGGTACAGCTGTGACTCTTAACCCGGAAGGCTTGTCTTCTGGAGACTCAACGTAATTACAATGTGTCCAATCACACATTCTGGCCTGCACAGCCTCAGTGGCTGTGGGCTTGTCCTCTGAGGTGCTTAGCCTGAAGCACTTTAGAGCTGCAAAGAGCAGGGAGTATTTAAAAACTGCAGTGAGTGTGTGCGGTGGGGGTGCGGAACCTGTGGCTCTGGTTTGCTCCTTAGCTGATACCTCTAGTTTTGGGTAATGCTGGACTGTCCAAATTCAGTCATAGGGAGTAACCAAAAGACTTTTTCAAACTCAGCAGGCCCTTGAGCCCAGCTAAATCACTTTATTAAATTATGGAAATGTCCTTCAAACAAAATGCCCCAATCTTGGTTGTGCTGCCTTGAAGAGCCCTGTATGATGGCAACTATGTGGGTAGGCCAGGGCAAGATCCTCCTGAGAGACTGTGCTCCCAACAGGGCTGAATTCCACCGGTGTTTACAAGCTCATTCTGATGGAGACCTTTCTCTACCTAACTGTGCTTGACCAAGGTCCTAGGGTGACCCAGATACCTGAGGGCATCAAAGATCAACCCTGGGTACTGGCTCCAAACCTGTCTCACAGCTGTGAAGGTGAAAGACAGGAGGAGTAAGCAATTCTGGATGCAAGCTCTACAAAGAATCATTGCAGGACGGGGCAGAACTGAGGAAAAGTTAGAGAGACTCTCCAGAGTAGGTGACATTCCCAAAATTTAAAAGAGCCACTGAGGTCTGTCATTTCGTGGTTTTTGTTTTTAATAGGATCATGGCAGAGTCTGGACAATGGCTGAGGTAATTGGTAGGAGATGGGTTAGTTCTCTGGGATAGCATAGGCTGAGACATGGAGGGCCCACGGTCCACATGGTCTAGCCCACACCAAGGAGATGATCATGCTCTGTTCACCCATTGCCAACCTAGTCAGGGGTGGCTCAACCCCCTCCCACCACAGGCCCCTTTATCCATCCCTGACTAGGGCTTTGTGAGTTGTGGGCCTTGACTGTCTTGTTGCCATTAGCCACTGCATGGTCTTGTGTCCTCTGACATTTCAGCTGTCCCAGGTGCTTTTAATTATCCTCAGCAGAAATTATGCAGCAGAAAGATGGGTCCTCCTTTCGTATCCATTCTGTAAGCCTATGTCTTTTTATAGGTGAATTAATTCCATTGATATTGAGGGATATTAATGACCAGTGATTGTTCATTCATGTTATTTTTTGGTGGTGATTTGTGTGTAGTTCTCTTTGTTGGGGTTTACTACTGTGGCTTTTTCTATTGCCTGTATTTTCGAGGGTGCATCTGACTTCCTTAGGTTGGAATTTTCCTTCTAGTGCTTTCTGTAGGGCTGGGTTTGTGGATAAGTATTGTTTAAATCTGGCTTTGTCTTGGAATGTCTTGTTCGCTCCATCTATGATGATTAAAAGTTTTGCTGGGTATATTAGTCTAGGCTGGCATCCATGGTCTCTTAGTGTCTGCATTACATCTGTCCAGGTCCTTCTGGCTTTCAAAGTCTCCATTGAGAAATCGGGTGTTATTCTGATGGGTTTGCCTTTATAAGTCACTTGGCCTTTTTCCTTTGCTGTTCTTAATATTCTTTCTTTATTCTGTACGTTTAGTTGTTTAATTATTATTTGGCGAGGGGACTTTTTTGGGGGTCTAGTCTGTTTGGTGTTCTATAGGCTTCTTGTATCTTCACAGGCATTTCCTTCTTTAAGTTGGGAAAGTTTTCTTCTATGATCTTGTTGAATATATTTTCTGTGCCCTTGCGTTGGTATTCTTCTCCTTCTTCGACCCCTATTATTCGTAGGTTTGGTCTTTTCATGGTGTCCCAAATTTCTTGGACATTTTGGTTCATGACTTTGTTGGCTTTAGTGTTTTCTTTGACTGATGAATCTATTTCTTTTACTGTATCTTCAATGCCAGAGATCCTCTCTTCCATCTCTTGCATTCTGTTGGTTATACTTGCATCTGAAGTTTCTGATCTTTTACTCAGATTTTCTATTTCCAGCATTCCCTCTGTTTGTGTCTTCTTCATTTTTTCTATTTCCCTTTTCAGGTCTTGGACTGTTTCCTTCATTTGTTTCATTGCTTTTTCTTGATTTTCTTTCAGTACTTTATTGTTTTCTTCCAGGACTTTAATGATTTCTTCTAATTTGTTTGCCCTTTCCTCTAGTTGTTTACAGCGTTCTTCCCATTTTTTGTCTTTTCCTCTACACAAGCCTCTACCTTCTTCATGATGTCATTCATAAGGCTGTTTTCTTCTGCTTCTTCCAATTTCTGATGTTCAGGTCTAGGTGTTGGAGGAGGGCTAGGTTCTGGTGATGCTGTATTGATATTCATTTTGTTGTATGTATTTCTGCCTTGATGTCTGCCCATCTCCTTGTGGTTCGTTTTTGGTCTTATCAGCACACTTGGTTCAGACAGAGCTGACAGATTCAGGAAGTCTCTCTCTCTCTTGTCCAGATGGGAGCTCTCTTTTCCAAATGGGAACTCCGGGGCACGATGGGAGCTCTTGTCCAGAAGAGAAGTCTGGGGTAGGATGGGAGCTCTTGTCCAGACAGGAAGTCCGGGGCAGATTGGGTGCTCTTGTCCAGAAGGGAAGTCCAGGGTAGGATGGGCGCTCTTGTCCAGAAGGGAAATCCAGGGCAGGATGGGAGCTCCTCTCTCTCTCTCTCTCTCTCTCTCTCTCTCTCTCTCTCTCTCTCTCTCTCTCTCTCTCTCCCAGAAGGGAAGTCCGGGGCAAGATGGGAGCTGGGGGCCGGCCTCTAAATCTAAGGAAGTGCCTGGGGTCTCAGGTGGATAGGCGTGGGTACAAGGCGTGGAGATTGCAGGGTCTGCCGGGGGTCTTGGAGAAGGGGATCCTTTCCGGTTGGGCTAGAAGGGAACCTGCCCAGTGGCCAGAACCTGGGGCCAAGTTGGGCAGGTCTTCCCCAGAGTGGCTGGTGCCCAGGGATGGGGTCCGGGCCAAGCCAGGGCACTCACCTGTGCTCCAGAAGGGAAGTCTGAGGCAGGATGGGATCACCAGTTCTTATTTAATAAAGCCTGTCCTAATTTAAATTTATTCATGGTCACAGTGAATCTCTGAGTGACCCAGGCCGCACAATATTTTGTTGTATTCTAACATGTTAGTTTCTATTTTCAGTCTGTATGTATGTATGTATGTATGTATGTATGTATGTATATATGAATTTATTTTGGTTTTTTCAAGACAGGGTTTCTTTGTGTAGCCCTGTCAGTCTTGGAACTCACACTGTACCAGGCTGGCCTCGAACTCACAGAGATCTGCCTGCCTCTGCCTCCCGAGGGCTGGGATTAAAGGCATGTACCACAACAGCTTGGCTATAGTTGATTTTATTATTATTCCTTTGAAGCCTGTATGTTTTCACACACACACACACACACACACACACAATCTTTATTCTTTGTGAATTTCACATCATGCACCCCAAATCTGCTCCTTTCCCAGTCCTGCATATCCTCCCTTCACCCTTGCAGCATCCCTCCCCTATAATAAAATAAAAGAAATACCAAACTAAACCAACCAAACCACTAACCAACCAACCACGCAAACAAAAAAGCCCACTTCTCTCTTTTGTCTCTCCCACCTGTTCAACATCTCTTCATTCATTTGAGTGGCACTGGGTTCCCCGGTGTGGCCTGCAGTATACCCTTTGTTCAATCAGCCCCATCTGAAAATGAAAATTGTAATGAGTCATTGGTCTGGTTCAAGGCCTCTGGTTTGTGGTACACCATCATCACTGGATCCTCACAGAAACTCCTCTCTGATATCCCACGGCTGCCCCTAGTCATGGAGATCTGCAGAACCAGTCCCTTCACATGCTCCAGCAGGTCCGAGATGGGGTTGATGTTAGGGTGGGCCAATCCAAGGCCCTGGATATGGACCTGGGTGGTAGTTGAGTTGGTCAGTCCTTGATACTAAGGCTGCCCCCTCAGGTGGAGTTGGAACCAGCTCTCCTATGCCCATGGCATCAGGGTCATCTCTCTCATGCCTGTGTTGAGAGGTGGGGCCAACTCTCCTAAGTATAGGGGGCCAGCTCTCCATGCCAGAGTCATTGGGGCCAGCTCTCCTGTGAGGGTCAAGGTCAGCACTCTAGCTGCAGTGTCTAGTGAGGAGCAGGGCCAGCTTTCCTAGGGCTAACACAGGGCCGGTGTGGCTCAGCACTGCCCTTGGATTTCATCATACATGACCTCCTATGGTTACATGGCCCACAGATGTCAACACAGACTCCAGTTACAGCAGGACCACAGATCCAGAGGTGGTCCTCCAGAGCGTCTCGGGCCCATATGTTACCATGTCCCGTGTCTCAGCTCATGTCACTCAGAGCAGTTCAGCCCCAGCATCAAGTAGCATGGCTCTCAGACACCAGCATAGTCTGAGGTGGCTAACCAGACCCTGGGCATCTGCATGTCCCTTGTTTGCAACAGATGCCATGGACATCAACTTAAACCCTGGCTGCTGTGGGGCCATGGACCCAGAGATGGCCCTAGACTGAACATTGGGCCCTGACATACCACGGCCCCAGGTGATGGCACAGGCCAACCAGAGCAGCAGCATGGCTGTGGGACACCAGCATGTTCTCAGGTGGCAGACCAGACCTCAGGCACCTTCATGCCCCTTGGTGGTAACAGGAGCCATGGATATCAACTCAGACCATGGCTGCCATAGGGACACCGACCTAGACATGGCCCTCAGCAGCTACTTGGGCCCGGATGACACCTAGGCCCCAGGTGGTAGCATAGGCTACTCAGATCAGCATGGCTCTGGAGGCTTGGACAACAAGTCCACAGGTTGTGCCACAGACCCTGGGTATCCATGTGGCCTAGGTGGCAACACGGGACACAGACTTTAACACAGGCACTGGCTACATTAGGACATGGACCCAGACATTGTCCTAGGCAGCTACATGGCCTGGATGTCACCAAGGCCCCGGGTAGCAGCACAGGCACTCAGATTGGCATGGCCCCAGAGGCAGCATGATCCAGGGTCACCAACACGGTCCCAGGTGACAGCCCAGACCCCAGACATATGCATGGCTTTCAATGGCAGCAGGAGCCATGGATATCAACACATAGACCCTGGCTGCAGTAAGGCCATGGACCCAGACATGACCCTTCAAGCAGCCCAGGCACAGGAATCATCACTTCCCTGGGTGACAAGCAGGCCATCTACCTCAGCCGGCTCCTCACCACCTTCGGTTCTTCTATTCCACATCTTTCCACAGCACATGAACCATTCTGTCTCTCTTTTTCTCCCATTTCTCCACCACACATTTGCTCATTATAATGGCACCCAACCTCCATCAACTGCTTTAGGCAGCCCAGGTCTTGAGGACCCAGGATGGCCTGTGAGTGTCTTCCACCTATCTGAGCTGTTTTCTAATGACAGAATGGTAGGTATGTCCAGATGGAAGGGTGAGTGAGGAGGAACTGGGAGGAGTAGGGGGAAGGGAAACCATAATCAGAATATAGTATGTGACAGAAAAATCTATTTTCATTAAAAGAAAAAAGAAAGAATTGTTGTGACCCCTCCCCAAATAAAAAGTAATCATCAGCATCAATACTTTCTGTGCCCACCTTCTCCTTAGATTCCCCATTTGCAGGGTTACTACTGAATCCCGTGCTCAAAGGATCAAGTGAGCCTGAATCAAGAAGGCTTAAGTGATCCACTGTTTCACAATTCCCATGTGTAGGCAATAGTCATCTGTGCAAACAATACTCATGACTTAGAAATGTCACCCCCCAAAAATAGAACGTGTCATTGTGTTTAAATGGCATATCCTGAAGAGTGTACATCTGTATACTACAAACCCCAGAAAGCATATGAAATTAAATAACTTGGAAATTCATGATTGTATTGTTAACATGAGTGCTGAATTTTAGTGAAGCTGGACATTGAGTACAGGTGTCACCAGATTTCCCTCTAGCTCCTGAACTAAGATTGCACTCTAGGGATAGTCATCCCTATCGATAATGAGAAGGACCTTTTCAATACGAGGAGGTGTGCTCTGTACTACGACACGCCTCTGACTCTTCCTCTCTTCTGCTCTCCGATGGACGAACCATGTCTAAAATTAGAGGAAGGCAGGATTGGAGTTAGCATTGGCTTCCACCCCAGAGCCAAGAGATAAAAACCACTTTAAGACACATAACACTGACTTTCTATTCAGCTCATAAAAGCAAATACCAGCTGTGTGTCAAATTCTGTAATAGGCCATGATTTTGTCTTTTTCCAGCAGTATAGACACTTCAGTGGTTTCTTTTCTATTGGATGGAAAGCTTAGATTACAGCATGTTCCAGTTCCTTGATATTAATTCAATATATGGTAACTGGGTAAAGGAAAGTCTTCATTCTGACATTTTTCCATCAGCTGTAGAATACCCTCCTCACTAATGATCCATTCCTCTTGTTTGGGCAGAGATTGTGGATCACCAAATGTTAGCACATTTTAAAGGCCTATGGACGGGAACAGCTTTCTGTTTGCAAAAGCAATCTTCAGTATGAAGTAATTAATCAACAGAAATAAGCATAGGAGATTTTTAGAAAGAAAATAGCATTCAAGGGTTCCAATGGGATTGTTGGTGCTTGAAATTTCAGGAGAGCGAACAAGTGGTGGGCAGAGAAGGCCTGGTCAATGGTTTGACATCACAGCCTCCAGTGTTTGTGAAAGTTGACAAATTTAACCTAATGACATACAGGACAATGAATCCTTTACCATCTCCAGGAGTTCAGCTGAAAGCATGACTTCCACCCATGGTAAATCTGAACAGTATATTCTTTCATGCTATAAAAAGTTCTCCAGGATCAGGACGAAGAATAATATCATTGTTTCACCTATATTTCCAGAATCCTGTCCAGCACAGAGGGCACACTAGGCCCTGTTGTGTCATCAGGACATCTAAAGCCCATCTTTCTTCAAAAGGCAAAGAGTAAGATGGTCCACAACAGTGTGGGGAAAGTGGTCATAAATCAGCTCTTCCTAAATATGGTCTAGCTATGGAAATACAGTCACAGTAACCTGTTAGATGTCACCATCCTCACAGGCTCCTAGTGAAATGAGGGTCCATTGTATTGGGAAGTTCTCAAACTGTACATTTGTGCCTCCATGTCCTTTCTTTCCCTACCTATTATGTGGATGTATAGTCTAAAGAAGACCAACCAAAGGACCAGAAGCCCTACTACCATCCTGATGCCTCCATGAACTCAAATAAAGCCCCAGTGGCTGACTCATGTGGTCTCACTTTAAGTCAGAGTTCCCCGTTTGATTCCTAAAGCCTATTGCTTGCATTTGTAAGAGGAAAGAGGAAATCAGAAACGAGGCTATTGGAAAGTCACACTCAAGAGTGTGCAAACAGGAGACCATGGGTGTTTTCTCTTGTGTCTTGTGTCCACCTTCTCTCTGTAGCTGCAGTGCACCAGTCTCTAGAGCTGGAGTGTATCATCCTCCCTAGAGCTGCAGTGCATCATCCTCTCTAGAGCTGCAGTGCACCAGTCTCTAGAGCTGCAGTGCATCATCCTCTCTAGAGCTGCACTGCATCATCCTCTCTAGAGCTGCAGTGCACCAGTCTCTAGAGCTGCAGTGCATCATCCTCTCTAGAGCTGCAGTGCACCAGTCTCTAGAGCTGGAGTATATCATCCTCTCTAGAGCTGCACTGCATCATCCTCTCTAGAGCTGCAGTGCACCAGTTTCTAGAGCTACAGCGCATCAGCCTCTCTAGAGATGCAGTGCATCATCAACTCTAGAGTTGTAGTGCTTCAGTCTCTAGAGCTGCAGTGAATCAGTCTCTCTAGAGATGCAGTGTGTCAGCCTCTCTAGAGATGCAGTGCATCAGCCTCTCTTGCAAAGAATAATGAGGCTACAATCGACAACCCAAGAGAAGCCAGGTAAAGAGGAGGTCCCATAGAGGGACATTCATGGATCACCCCAGGAAGGGAAAACAGATACGATCTCCTTTGTAAACTGGGTAGGGGATAGAATGGAGGGGTTGGGAGATAGGAGCATGAGGGATCTGGATGGCCAAGTTGGAGTAGGAATGGAAAGGGAGAGCCATGAAAGAGATATCTTGAGAGAGCCATTATGGGTTTAGGGAGAAACCTGGCGCTAGGGAAGTCCCCAAGAACCCAATGCCTTGTTCAGCCTTGATGCAGTAGGTCCTGCCCCAACTGAATGTACCAGGTTTGTTGACTCACAATGGAAGCCTTACCGGCTGTGGTAAGGAGTGGATATGGGAGTTCAGGGAGGAGGTGGGGATGAGAGCAGGAGATGGGGAAGGAGGGGAACTGTGGTTGGTATGTAAAATGAAAAAAAATCTTAAATAAAAAAAAGTGCCTAGGACAAGGCTTCCCAAAACATGAGGAAGGCTGTAGATTGACTGTTCAATGTCTTTGCTTGGATTTACTGACCTTCACTTTGACTTCAGGAATAGTCAAAGCTTGTGCAAGTTCTTTCCTGTGGAAAGAAAACCACAAATGTTTAGCATGCCGTGTTTTACATGAACTGCAAAGTCATAAATGATTTCTATGCTTTTTTAATATTGCTATCTTCCCTCAACCCCCCTTTAACTTTCATTCTCAGAACTAGTCTTGCTTTTGCAATGGTTTCACCTCTTATAAAAATTTCTAATAAAGATTAATTTTAACACTCTATGAAAACTTAAAAATAAATGCCAAAGTGTATGCCGAGCAAATTGTACTAAATTAAAAAACAGCAGCAGGGGAAGGGAAAGGGAAAGCGAAAGGAGTTGATGGATAGGTACACAGTCCCTGAAAAGATGACGAGACTACTGGTCAGGAGGTCACCCAACAAAGTGTAAATCCTTAACACTGGTGAACTTTACACTAGTGAGTATTTTGGCACACTATACTCATGTCTCAATATTTTACAGAAATTAAAATATGACTCGAAATGAGTGGTGTTGACTATGTACACTTGTTTGGGCCAACCCTACACGCTAATACTGACTTTTACCCCTACACAAGGCACCCTCCTGTACCCACCACCTAGGGAGAAGACAGCAGTGTCTTAGGGAGGGATGACAGGAAACCAGGGCCTGGAACAACAAAAGGACATCTCAACCTGAGACAACAGGGAGGTTGGGGATAGATCCTGGTGCAAGACACATACCTGGCAAGCGCATCTGGGTACTGGGTTTCTTTGAACAATTTTTCCATTTCCTCGACCTGCCCCAGTGTGAACTTCAATGTGGTTCGCCGTCGCCTTCGTGATGAACGGCGCCTGGGAATCCGAATCACAGGCTCGGCTGAGGGCCTTGGCTCCTCTTGGTGAGGCTCCGAGGAAGAGGAGTTCGGGTCCCTACTGCCCTCCTCAGAGTCGTTTTGGCTCTCACGGACCTGGCGGACCCCGTTATTTAGTTCCATTACGCAGCCTGCGTCACCTCCACTAGGGTTGCCACCCACCATCGCCAAGGCAGCCTCTAAGGTGGAGACCTCAGCTATCTCCTCACCATTCTCATTCCTCACAACGTATATATATTGCCAATGGACCTTGCGGGCCATGACTAGTAGTGGGCCGAAACCACAGAGAGAAGTGGGACCCCAGGAATGACGACACTCAAGGCCTATTGTTTGGTCATGTCTACTACTGATGAGGCATCAAGAGAGGCCTGAGGAAAGGGTGACGTCAACGTGTCCTTCTGCGCATGTTCCACACTTCTCCATGTTCCTCAAGGTTGACGTCAACACGCTCCTCTCCAGATGGGCGCTATAAGCTTTTCCCTCCCTGACTGACTGCTCTGGGCTTTATGACCTCTTGCTGAGGTAGGCGGTATTTGCTTTGGTGCACAAGTGGTGGGTGTGAACCAATAGATGAGGAACGAGGGAGCCACTGTGAAGAGGCTTGTGAAAGGTCGTGTGAAGTTAAACCTTGCTTCCAGGGCATGCATGTAGAATGAGTTTTAGCTTGCTTCTGCATGCATGTGCGTGCTGCCTGTTCCTCCTAGGTTATAGAGATGACACTGGAGGATGAATTGTGTAGCATTGCAAGATAATTGGGGAATAGAGTATGGGAGAAAGATGGGAACACACACTGATCACAGGACCCTTGTGAGAACATGTAGAAAATTTCTGTGAACCTCACCCTCCACCTACCACTGCTGCTCAGAGAATGGGCTTAGAACTAAGTGGACATGATCAGATTAGTGGCTGATAGTTCAAGAGTGCCTGTTAGTACATTGAGTCCTAGAACGCACTCTTGTCTTCCCTAAGATGCTTTTTCATCGTATTTTATCACAGCATAAGAGAGCAACTGAGGGGTGGAGTGACTTTGGGTGGGTGGGAGGAGTGACTGATGAGGACTTATTGATGGGGGAAGTGATTGATAGGGTTGAGTGACTGATGAGGAATGGCTGATGGGGGGAGTGGCTGATGGAGAGTGCTGAGACAGTTTTCAGTTGAGATTTTTTAAAATTTCCTTTAAGTTCCTAATTGTGTATGTGAGTGCAATAGCCACGTGTGTGGGTCAGAAGATAACTTGGAGGAGTTGTTTCTCTCCTTCCACTGCATCCAGGAATTGAACCCAGGCTGACAGACATTAGCAGCAAGTACCTTTACCATCAGAGTCATCTTGCTGGCCCTGACAGTACCTACTTAGGCAGGTTGTTTGTTAATGGGCATTTCCTAGTGTTATATATGTTCTCGTTCCCATATACTTAGGGCTTAAAATGCATAGCTGTTTGAAGATTCAGAAATAGTAGTGTTTGGTTTAAGTCTTCTAGACACATACAACCACAAGAGCTAGTCAGCATAGCTTGATGTTAAACTTAGTAAACAATTAGATTTCAGATTTTGGTGTAGTCATGTTTTTTTTTTTTTTTTTTTAATGTTGTTGTTCGTTTTTTTGAGACAGGGTCTCGTATAGCTCAGACTGGCTTTGAATTCAGTATGTAGCAGAGCCAGACCCTGAGTTCCTGATTCCCCTCCCTTTGCCCCCTGGGTTTTGTGATTACAGATTTGCACCATCATGCCTGGGTTCAATTTTTAAATGTAATTTAAGAAAAATGCATTGTCAATATTATTTTGTGTGGGTATGGATGCATGTATACTCTGGCACCACGTGACAATCATAGAATAACTTTGTGTACTGGGTTCTTTCTTTACGTCTATATGTGTCCTTCTGTCACACTCAGGCTATCAGGCTTGAGTCTTTACCAGCTGAGTTATCCCACTGGTTCCAGGTTTTTGTTTGTTTGTTTTTCAGGAAAGGTTTTTTTTTTCTCTGCAACCCTGGCTGCCCTGGAAGTCACTCGAGACCAGGCTGTCCTTGAACTCACAGAGATCTGGTTGCCTCTACCTCTTAAGCGATTAGATTAAAGGCAGGCACCACCGCTGCCCAACACCTAGGGTTTGTTTTTGTTTTTAAATGATACATTTATTTTTATTTTATGTGCATCGGTGTTTTGCCTGCATGTCTGTCTGTGTGAATGTAGATCACTTTGAGCTAGGTTACAGACAATTGTGAGCTACCATATGGGTGCTGGGAATTGAACCTGGGTCCTCTCGAAGAGCAGCCAGTGCTCTTAACACTGAGCCATCTATCCAGTCCATAGCTTTTGTTTTAATACAAAGAAATAAAGAATTTTTTTTAAAGGTCTGGGGCTGTAGCTTGTGAGCAGTCGTCTGGCACTTAGGAAGTTCCCTAGGTTCTGTTCTCAGTTCTGTCAGAAATTGTTAAATCATTGCCAAGTCCCAGGTTTTCTCTCCAAGAAGCACAAGGAGGACAAGAGCATTTCAGTAAACTGGTGCATAAGTCATGTCCTCGGCTTTAGAGAACGTCGGTGCAACCCTGAGTTTATGAGCTCTTCCCCTCAGACTCCAAGAACAGAAGTTTATCTGCACTGTGGTAGAGTCAGTGTTTGTACATGGAAGGCTAAAGGCCCTGTGTAAGGCTCTGTAGTCCTCAATCATAGATGAGGGAGGGAGGGAGGGAGGGGTTAGTCGGGAGAGCCAGACAGCTGAGGCTCTATGTGATGCACTGTGGGAGTGATGCTCACAGCCACTTGGAGGTGAACTTTCTCATAGTTGTAGGAGAGAAAGACGGTCCAAGTGTGTGATCCTCCTTAGGCTGTCGTTCCAGGTTGACACTGTGAGTTTTGTTGTTGTTGTTGTTTTCTTTTTTTTTGGTTTTTCGAGACAGGGTTTCTCTGTGTAGCTTTGCGCCTTTTCCTGGAACTCACTTGGTAGCCCAGGCTGGCCTCGAACTCACAGAAATCCGCCTGGCTCTGCCTCCCGAGTGCTGGGATTAAAGGCGTGCGCCACCACCGCCCGGCTGTTGTTTTCTTTTTAAAGTTAGCTGCCAGGTGGTGGTGGCAGCAGTGGCACACACCTTGAATCCCCCCACTTGGGAGGCAGAGGCAGGTAGATCTCTATGAGTTCAAGGCCAGCCTGGTCAATGTAGAGAGCTCCAGAATGCATAGAGAGACATTGTCTCAAAAAAATTAACTGGCAAATTTGGGGTTATTTTTTATTTTTATTTTCTTAAATTTATGATGCCTACTTTCAAGATAAAACCTAATGATTTTCTGAATTTTGTTGGTATCTGTTGCAGTGGCTCTCCTTTTATCTTTAATTTTATTAATCTGAGTCTCTAATATTCTTATCTTTGTCTTTTGATCAGTCTGCCTAATCATACATTTCAAAGAACCAACTTCTAGTTACATTGATTCTTTATTGTTATTTTTGTTTCCATTTCAATAATTCCTGCATGGATCTTGATTTCTTTTCATCTCCTGATTTGGGGTTTGGCTTATCCTTCATTTTTGAGGGCTCTCATATGTATCATTTATTTGCACTCTCTCTGGCTTTTTTGTTGTTGTGTTTTGGGACAGGGTTTCTCTGTGTAACAGCCCTGGCTGTCTGGGAAGTCACTTTGTAGACCAGGCTGACCTCCAACTCACAGAGATCCCTCTGCCTCTGCCTCCTGGGTGTTGGGATTAAAAGGGTGTGCCACCACCTCCGGTAGTTTCATTCCATTTTGATCAGGTAAACCACAAGGAATTGTTTTCCTGTATTTGTTGAGACTTGCTTTGTCTCAGAATATGGGATCTATTTTGAAGAAAGTTCCATGGGAATAATATGTATTCTGCAGAGTTTGGATGGACTAGTCTGTAGATGTCTGTTAAGTCCATTTGATCTATAATATCATTTAATTTGCATATTTCTGTTTATTTTTTGTTAGGGAGACATATCAGTTGGTGAGTTTTAGGTATTAGCGTCACCCAGTAGTTAATCTGGCTTGAATCTAATATTATTTGTTAGGAAATCAGGTGCACTTGCTTGAGGCATACTTTTAGAATCATAAAGTCCTCTTACATTCCCTTAGTCAGTATGAAGTGACTCTCTTTATATTTTCTCACTAGTTTTGGTTGGAAGTCTGTTTCATTAGCTATTGGAACACTGGCACCTGCTTGTTTCCTAGGCCTATTTACTTGGATCATTTTCCATTCTTTTCTCCTAGGGTGACATCTGCCTTTGTAGTGACATCTGTTTCTTGGAGGCATCAAGTAGATGTTTCCTGTCATTTGATGCAATCTACTACTAATCTGTGCCCTTTTTTCCAAAGATTTATTTTTATTTTCAATTGTGTGCGCCCATGCCTATATGTAGGTCTCTGCGTGTGATTGCAGGTTTTCAAAGACCCAGTGGTGTGGGATCCCCTGTAATTTGGTTGTGGAATTGAGACCATTAATACTCAGTTATTGTTGAAAAGTGGGTGTTAATTCCTGCCATTTGTTGATTTTGTAGGTTTTTTTTTTCTTTTCCCCTCTTGCTTAACTACTATCCTACTGTGTTTATTCTTTGCTGTGGATTTGTGGAGGAATTTGTTTTTCTTTTCAGTCCAAAAGATTCCTGTAAGTATTTTCTATGGAGCTAGCTTAGTGCTCATGCATTCCTTTAGTCTGTTTTTTTTTTTTTTTATCATGCAAAGTGTGTATTTTCCCCTCAGTTACAAAAGACTGCTTTGCTAGCTATAGTCATCTGAGTTGGCAGTTGAGTCAGAATTGAAATGCATCTGCCCGGGTCTCCTGGCTGTAAAGTTGCAGCCGAATAATCTGCTGCCATACTGCCATTCTGCCCTATGGGACATGGTGTGTCTGGCTGCTGCTGAGATGCTGTCTTTGTTCTGTGTCTTTAGTGTTCTAATTGTGAGGAGGGCCAATTCTTTCCTGGTCTGTCTCTTGGTGTTCTAAGCACTTCACATCTGGATTGAACTCTCTGTTACCAGCACTGAGAAGTTAGTTTTCTGTTATGAGGATTTTTAAAAACATATTTTGTACCTTTAGTACTTGATTCTTCTCCTTCTTCTATGCTGTCATCATGGATCTCTCAGGGGGTTGTGTGTCTTGGAGTCCCACTGATGCCTTCTTTGTCTTGTTTCGATTGTTCCAGCAACTTAACTGTATTGAATTTCTCAACGATGTTTACATTTTCCCAGAACGCATTTTGTGATTAACTTTATTCTGTATGTCTCTTCCTTCTTGTTCTTTGCTTCGGATTCTTAACTATTTATTGCTAATTTAAGTACGTATTTTCTCTGCCGTTTTAGAATTGAAGTCCCATGATATAACACACATTTTTTTTATACTTCAAATAATCAATCATTTTTATTTAATTTACAATAAATTAGATTCTATGAGAGAATTAATGAAATGAAGCATCATACATACATTCTGGATTTTTTTTTTTAATTTATTTTGCAATACAATTCAGTTCTACATATCACCCACGGATTCCCTTGTTCTCCCCCCTCCCGTCCCCCTCACCTTCCCCCCAACCCCCTCCCCATTCCCATCTCCTCCAGGGCAAAGCCTTCCCCACAGACTGAGGTCAACCTGGTAGACTCAGTCCAGGTAGGTCTAGTCCCCTCCTCCCAGGCCGAGCCAAACAATCCTGCATAGGCCCCAGGTTTCAAACAGCCAACTCATGCAATGAGCACAAGATCTGGTCCCACTGCCTGGATGTCTCCCAAACAGATCAAGCCAATCAACTGTCTTACCCATTCAGAGGGCCTGATCCAGTGGGGACCCCTCAGCCATTGGTTCATAGTTCATGTGTTTCCATTCATTTGGCTATTTGTCCCTCTGCTTTATCCAACCTTGGTCTCAACAATTCTCGCTCATATAAACCCTCCTCATTCTCGCTAATTGGACTCCCAGAGATCCACCCGGGGCGTAGTCATGGATCTCTGCATCCAGATCCCTCAGTAGTTGGATGAGGTTTCTAGCACAACAATTAGGGTGTTTGGCCATCCCATCACCAGAGTAGGTCAGTTCGGGCTGTCTCTCGACCATTGCCAGCAGTCTGTTGTGTGGGTATCTTTGTGGATTTCTGTGGGCCTCTCTAGCACTTTGCTTCTTCCTATTCTCATGTGTCCTCATTTACCATGGTCTTCTATTCCTTGTTCTCCCTCTCTGTTGTTGATCCAGCTGGGATGTCCCACTCCCCCAAACTCTTTTCCCTCGACCCTCGCCTTTCATTACCCCCACTCATGTCCAGGCTGTTCATGTAGATCTCTTCCATTTCTTCTTCATTGGGTGATCCCCGTGTCTTTCTTGGGGTCCTGTTTTCCAGGTAGCCTCCCTGGTTATATGAGTAGCAGTCCAGTCATCCTTGTTCCACATCTAGTATCCTGCTATGAGTGAG